TTTGAGGAAACTGCAAGAGGCATTCTGAGAGGTTGGATCACCTGGGCTACCTGACTTCATTGATGTCTGGTCCTTTTGTTTTGAAAACAGACAAACTTTTAAAGGTAACATACATATCTGCATCAACACAAATATGGAATATGCAGTGTGCACAGATGAGCTAAAGATGATTCTTTGTTTTATGTTTGTGCAGGTAAAAAGCATCTGTCAATTTTATAAGTCTGTTTGGACTGCATAACCAAACTGTAATATAAATCTCCATCCATGACATATGAAAGGATGGCATGTAATAGTAAGTCACAAGGACTCTGTAACCAACAAAATTTATCATGTTGCCTCCAGTCTCAAAGCTTTTCCCATTAGCAGAATCAATACATACAAAATCTGTCTTGTAGTTTTTCTTGTTTTTTTTCCCCTTCATGCCTGCAGCCAAGATTTTCAGGAGGTCTCTTCTGGTCAATTTTTGAAGGAATCCACAGCTTTTTGTTTCCTGTGGAAACAAAGGCATAACCTCTCCCCCAACATAACACATTTCCTGACTTCCATTCTGAAGTTAAGACATCCTTAAAATACATAGGTTGGTTTAATTTAGCAGTTTTTCTACAATTCAGTGTCTCTCAGCAGTTAGTTTTTTCTCATTAGTGTTTAAAACATTTAAAATTAATAAAGTATTATATGTGGTCCAAGCTCCCTGTGTTATATTTCCCATCCTTATATGGCCTATTCTTTTTATGTTACTCTACTCTCTCTTTAAAGGCTATTGTTTTTAAATTATTTTTTCTATGACTGTCTTTACCCATTTTCTTTCCTTTCTTCAGCACCTAGGCACATTTCCAAGCATATTGTACATGCTTAGAGGTTTTTCTCAGTCTGCACCTGCCTTTACTATATGCCTGCAGTGTTCTCTGACAATATGAGCCAAACCTTAAACAGCCAGGTCACCTGCTCTGGTCCACAGGCACCTGCAGGAGCCATGCCTAACTATCCCAGCTCAGGGAAGTTGTTGTGTCCATGATACAGCAGGCATTTGTACCTAGTGCTGAGTAGCTGCACAGCAGGACCTCTTAAAGGAGCTGTGCTCCTATACTCTGCAAGTACTGGGACTATCTGAGAGTCTACAGTTACTAGGAAGAGGTGCCTGACTCTGTGTTTAGAACTTTTTTCCAGCTTTCTCAGGCCCTATGTAAACATCTGTGGCCCCACATTGAAAGCCAGTGGAGACTTATGAACGCTTGAACTTTAGGCTTGTTCCCAATTATCTCTTATAACTTAAATTAACCCATTTCTATTAATTTATGTTGCTCTTTACCTGTCCTCCATTCTGTATGTCCAACTCCATCCATGTCTGGCTGGCAAATCCTGTGAGCCTCAGATTCTTCCCAAGTTCCTCTTTCTTCCCAGAAGTCCTGCCTAGCCTCTCCAACATAGCTATTGGCCATTCTATTCTTTATTAAATCAATCAGAAGGTGTCTTTGGCAGAGACACATTTTCCAAGTATACAAAAAGATTATCCCACAACAGTTAAGAGCACTTACTTCTCATATAAAGGACCAAAGTTTAGTCCTAAGCACCTATGTGACAGTTCACATCCACCTGTAACTCCAGTTCTAGGAGTTGTGACCCTCCTTCTTCTTGCCTCTGTGTGCTCCTGCATGCACATGGTACACATAAACCCGTGTAGGCATGCATATTTGCATAAAAGTAATAAAGAAAGCAATACACCTTTAAAGGCAGGAGGCAGGAAGGAAAGATCTCAAGCCCAAGGCAACTGATAATAAACAGTACTGACCAGAGGACAATTAGGGAATGCTTTTCTTCTTGTGGATTTGACAGAGTTGATACAAACATGGATGCCTACTGAGGCAATTCAGATCACATAAATGAATGACTCAGCCTAGGTATACAGCAACAGGGAGTAGTGGGGACTGTGGTTTATTTAGAATTATCCTAAAGGAGTTCAGACTTCCATTTTAAAAGCAGCACTGGCTAAATAGCAAATGTTTGCAAGCTTCATTTGGCTTTAAGGCTTTAGACTTAAAATTTTGTCAGTTGGAGAGATGTCTGTGTCTGATTCAAACATTATCTAGTAGAGATTGGGCTTAGCTCAGTGGTAGAGGAGTTACTTAGCATTGAGAGGCCCTGGGTCTCAAGTACTCTCTCTCTCTCTCTCTCTCTCTCTCTCTCTCTCTCTCTCTCTCTCTCTCTCTCTCTCTCTCTCTCTCTCTCTCTCTCTCTCTCACACACACACACACACACACACACACACACACACAAAGACCTACTGGTCAATCACAAAAAACGGAGAAGCGCTGGGCGTTGGTGGAGCACACTTTTAATCCCAGCACTCTCTATGAGTTCGAGGCCAGCCTGGTCTACAGAGTGAGTTTCAGGACAGCCTCCTAAACAATACAGAGAAACCCTGCCTCGAAAAACCAAAAACCAAAACCAAACAAAAAACAAACAAACAAAAAAAAACCCGGAGAAGCCCTAAGGCTGGAGATATAGCTCAGTGGTAGAGCCCTTGTCTAACTTGTGCAAGGTCTTGAACTCAATCACTAGTGCTTTGAGGAACGTACCTAAGACTCATAGGGTGGTGTGGGACACGGTGCCATGTCCCATTTGGTCTGTCCCACCTCTGTCTGGATATCATTCCAATAAACAACTCTGATTTCAAGAATGTTATTGCTGGGGTTCCATGGATAAGAGCAAAATGGCTGAGACACACTTAAGAAAGTGCTCAACATCCCTAGCCATCCGGGAAGTGAAAATCAAAACAACTCTGAGATACCATCTCACTCCTAATGGCTAAAATCAAAAACACCAATGACAGTTTATGCTGGAGAAGATGTGGAGAAAGGGGAACACTCCTCCACTGTTGGTGGGAGTGCCAACTTGTACAGCCATTTTGGAGATCAGTATGGATAGTCCTCAGGAAAATGGAATTCAGCCAACCACAACACCCAGCAATTCCACTCTTAGGCATATATCCAAAAGATGCACATTCATACTATAAGGATGTCTGTTCAACTATGTCCACAGCAGCATTATTTGTAATAGCCAGAACCTGGAAGCAACCCAGATGCCCCTCAACTGAAGAGTGGATAAAGAAAATGTGGTACATTACACAATGGAATATTACTCAGCAGAAAAAAAACAATGGAATCTTGAATCTCAGGTAAATGGATAGCACTAGAAGAAACCATCCTGAGTGAGGTAACCCAGTCACAAAAAGACAAACATGGTATTTATTCACTCATATATGGATTTTAGACACGGAGCAGGGGATTGCCAGCCTGCACTTCCACTGATAAAGAGTCTGGGAAACAGAGAGGACCATAAGAGAGATATGCATGGTACCCCAGAGAAGGGGAATGGGATGGGACTCCTGAGGGGATTGGGAACATTGGGTGAGAGGAGGGGAGAGGAAGTTTGGAGAAAGAGAGGGGGAGAAGAGGGGGGGAAGAGGAGGACATGGGCAAACAGGAAGGTTGAGTTAAGGAGCCACTATAGGTCTGAGAAGAATCTGGCACTAGGGAGATTTTCAGAGATTTACAAGAATGACACCAACTGGCAAACTAACCAACAGTGGAGAGACTAACTTAAATGCCCTTCCCCTATAATGAGATTGATGACTACCTTATATACCATCCTAGAGCCTTCATCCAGTGGCTGACGGAAGCAGAAACAGACACCCACAGAAAAACACTGAACTGAACTCCTGGAAACCAGTTGCAGAGAGGGAGGAGTGCTGAGCAAAGGAGTCAAGACCTGGCTGGTGAAACCCATAGAGAGAGCTGACCTGAAAAAGGGGGAGCCCTTGGACCCCAAACTTGTGACTAAGAGGCCAGTATGGAACTGACCCAGACCCTCTGAATGTGGGTGTCAGTGAGGAGGCCTCAGCAATCTATGGGGCCTTGGATAGTAGACCAGTATTTAGCCCTGGCGTACAAATGGACTTTGGTAGCCCATTCCACATGGAGGGATGCTGTCTCAGCCTGGACACATGGGGGAGGGCCTAGGCCCTGCCTAGGATAATATGACAGATTTGAAGATTCCCCATGGAGGGCCTCACCCTCCCTGGGGAGTGGAGAGGTTGGTGGGGGGGCAGGGGAGAAGGAGGGGGTGAGAGAACTGGGATTGACATGTCAAGCAAGCTTGTTTCTAATTTAAATAAAAATTTTAAAAATGGAAAAAAGAAAAACAAAGAGCACTGCTTTTCTCCCAGAGGACCTGGGTTCCATTCCCAGCACCCACGTGGCAGCTCACAACCATCTGTCACTCCATTTCCAGGGAACCTAACACCCTCTTCTGGCTTCCCTGGGTGCATAGACATACATATATACAGGCGAAACACCCACACACATCATAATTAGACAAAAGAAAGAGTTGTATTGCTAAGCCTATCATGGGGAAACACACTTGTAATCCTAGCACTTGGCAGGCTGAGGCAGGAGGATGTCTAGGCAGGAGTTTGAGTCCAGCTTGAGCTACATAGCAAGGCAGTCTCACAAAAAGTGTGTGGGAGGACTAAAGAGATACCTCATCAACTTGAAGGGAATACTGCCTTTGCAAAAGACAGGAGTTCAAATCCAGCATCCTGCTGAGTGGCTCACAACTGCCAGTTCCAGGGGATCTGACACCTCTGCCCTTCTTGGCACCGGAACTCTCATGCACATAGCCACAGTCAGACAAATGCACACAAAATTAAAAAGTAATAATAGTTTAAATGGTAGGTGCAATCGTCCAGGTCTACAATCCAAACACTTCGGAGATGGTACAGGCAATGAGATCCATAGGTTCAGGGTCGTCCTTAGCTATGTACTGAGTTCAATTCATGGCCAGGCTGGGCTACATGTGACCAGCCTGGATGTGGGGGATGTGTGGAGAAAGGAGGAGGAGAAGGAAGAAAGGGGAAGGAGGAGGAAGAGAGGAACAGGTAGTTTAACAAGACAAGAATGATTGCTGAGTATAAGACAAGACACTTTGGGGTGAGATCAAACCTTGGCTTTGAAGTCCGGAGCTTCCTGAAAATGGGGAGACTTGCAAGGCAGATTGGGAAGGCTGTGTATAAAAGCTTCTCAGAGTAGCAGGAGGCTGGGAAACAGAGTGAGGGACTGGCAGGGTCCCAAGTAGGACTGAGTTGTGCAATGTAGAGCCCTGGGGAGGGTTTTACTTCTTGGTCCACACCCTCAAACTCCTTGAGAAAAAAAATCACATTTCATATGCAAGCTTAGAATGCTTTTCACTGCTGTATAGAAGGCTTCCCTGGTGAGCAGAGACCCCTGGCTTTGGTTCCAATGATGCTGTGGAGAGGGAAGGGAGGGGTGGAAGGTGACCTGCCACTGTCTGGGGAAACCAGCTTGTTCTCAAAGAGTCGACAAGACGGATCCAGGTGGTGCCAGAAAGTATCAGGAAGAGTCTGGGGTGCTGGCGACCCCCCTCACACTGGAGAATTGTAATCCCACAAGGGAAGCGGCTGAGGAGTACGCTAGCTCAAATGAGCACCCAGCCTCACCCCTCCTAATCCTCTAAAGGAGCTGTTAGTTATAAACACAGCAATTACCCACAGGAGGCCGATGACTCAGTTCAACAGACTGTAAAATGCTCAGAAAAATAGGGGCCCCATAAATGCAAAAATATTATTACAAGCACTTTCCCCCAAAACATCCTCCATCTTCCTGGGATGCTGCCTGTAAGGCCCAGCTGGACTGAGTTCTGCCATAAAATGAAACTCACATGGCCTGAGGAGCAGGTGTCTGGTCAGACTGTAGACCCTTGGAGAAGGCAGCCCTCATGATGCCTCTCCTCTCCCAGAGGACCAACGGTGCCCAGCAGCTAGGAGTTCACAGAAGAAGGTTCCTGGCAGGCCTGGCTTCCCATCTCAGCTAGGAAGGTGGCCTAACTTTCTCTGAGCCTTGGTCTCCTTACTTTACTCCTAGGATGAGTCCAAGACTTGCTGTAATCAACTTTTGGAACCCCAGATGCTTTGAGAAACATAAAGCAATTTACAGGTGAATTTACATGATGCCCCCTCCCCATCTCAGGGCACCTGTTCTAAGACACCCAGTGGATGTCTGGAATCCCCCATAACTCTGAACTTACACACTGTATCCTATTTTTCTAGTTTAACTATAAATTAAATAAAATAAGAGTAAGAAATTGGCAATAATAGCTAATAAAAATTAGAAAGATGAAATAATAGACCATAAATAACAGTTATTTCTAATTTATGAATTGATTATCACTTCTCAAAGTGCCCATTGATTATTTTCTGGCCATGTGTGACTGCAACTAAAAACATAAAGCAGCCCTGTGGAGAAGGGAGATCCCTGTACATGGATGGAAATGAGGACAGCTGTGTGAGATTCTCATACCGCCATTACAGCTGGAGGTCACAGGAAGGGACCAATGGGCCGCACACAAATGCCTCCTGTTTCCTAGTGCTCTCTGGTCATAGGACAAGGACAGAACTCAAGGAGGAGTGCTGCCCTCAGGTCTTCCAGTAAGGGGATGACAATTGCCAGGAGGCTGAGGGCTCAGAAACAGCTCCTCCTCCTCCTCTCTTCTTTTTTCTTCTCCTCCACCTCCGAATCCTCCTTCTTCCTTCTCTTCCTCTTCTTGTTCTACTACTACTTCTTCTTTGTTTTAAAACAGGGCTCACTATGTAGCTTTGGCTGTCCTGGAATTCCAATATGCAGGCCAGACTGGCCTCAAACTCAGAATCTGCCTGTCTCTGCCTCCTGAGTGTTGATATTAAAGGTGTGCACCAGGTCTGAAAATGCATCTTAATTGTGTGTGTGTGTGTGTGTGTGTGTGTGTGTGTGTGTGTGTGTGTGTGTCTGGCTGGCTGGCTGGCTGGCTGGCTGGCTGGCTGGCTAGCTGGGTTTCTTAAATTTTTTCGCACTTATGACCTCTTCTGCCTTAGAGATGTTTACACAGCTCTTGATATGCAGCTATGTAAAGTAAGTATACAAAGCAAAAATTTACTGGTAAAGAAATTTATTCTTGGACTGAAGAGAAGGCTCAGTGAGTAAAGAGCTTGCCATGCAAGCCTGAGGACCTGGGTTTGGATCTCTAGGACCCACATATAGAGTGTATGTCTGTGAGTCCAGCCTGCTATGATGTGATGGGAGGTGGAGATGGGAGAATCCCCAGAAGCTGAGCTAGCTAGCTTAGGGTACACAATAATGAATAACAAGAGACCCTGTCTTAGGCAAGCTGCGGGGAAGATGAAAGCAGATTGGCACATTGATGAAATGGGTATGCTGGGTGATTTTTACATAAAGAATTGAATCCTAAATTGGGTGTGGTGGCACACGCATTCATTTAATCCCAGCACTTAGAAGGCAGATGTGGGGGTGGGGCATGGGGTGGGGTCTCTGAGTACAAGGCCAGTCTGATGTACAGAGTAAATTCCTGGGCAGCCAGGGCTACACAGAGAAACCCTGTCTCAAAAAAAAAAATAAAACAAAACAAAACAAGAATTCAATCTTGGCTGACTATCTGATGCTACAGGACATAGATCATTATTGACTTTTTTTTTTCAGAGTTGATCAATATTTGATTTAGTTGGAATCAGTGTCCAGCGCAGAGCTTCATGTAAATACATCATACAAAAATGGGCATTTCAGAAACTGTTGGCAATTGTGCCCTAATCCCAAGCCAAAATTCATAGAACATTTTCTTATGAATTTAAATTAGAACCCAGGCAGTAATTAAAAGAAATTTTATTTTGTGTGTACTTGTGTCTGTGTGCGATTGTATATGAAGGGCAGAGAACAACTTGTGGGAATTACTTCTCTCCTTCCAGTAAGGGGTCCTGAGCATTGAACTCAGGTACTCAAGCTTGGCAGCAAGCACCTTTACCCATTGAGCCATCTTGCCAGCCCTCAAGCAGCAATTTGTAAAAGCAAACATTCTAGCTCAATACAATTTAAAGATCTACTGATTAGATACCTACATTCTTTTTTTTTTTTTTTTTTTTTTTTTTTTGGTTTTACGAGACAGGATTTCTCTGTTTGGGAGGCTGTCGGTCCAGCCTGGCCTCGAACTCACAGAGATCCGCCTGCCTCTGCCTCCTGAGTGCTGGGATTAAAGGCGTGCGCCACCAACGCCTGGCTACCTACATTCTTAATAATGGTAGTAGTTTTTGTTTTTCCATAACTAAATCTGAACAGTGTATGTTGATATTGTACGGCACGAAACATGTTCATTACAAGGCACAGGGATTGTGTGGTCAGAACTGTCCAGAACCAAGGTTGCAGGGCAGTCATGTGATGTCACTTAAGTGAGTGATGCCCTAAATACCTTGGATTCATTATCCAATATAAATTCATTCTATTTTGAGTTAATGGTTGTTATTATACTTTCAAAGTTATTTTATTGCTGTCAATTTTTGTGCGGGGGGGGCTGCCATAAATTTTACCACTTCATCCAGGGTTATTGCCACAGTTTCAAAGCTGGACCCCAAGACAAAGTACAACCTTTGGAGCCTGGCCACTGACACCAGCTCATGAGTAGTCACAGCCCCTCACATACTTAGAACTTATGAACACATGGCCCCCCTGCACTCCCCCTGGGCTGCCAGCTGCATCCAACCCCTTCCATCATTTCCCATCCACCCCAAAGAGCAAGTTCCTCCCCTCGTTGCATGCCCAATCCCCTGGATCTCATCTCTCTGGTCCACATTTATCACAGACCTAGACAAGCTCGTGAAAGTTGGGGGTCTCTGCAGAGATATCTTGATCCACTAGCTATGGAGTCGTGAGGGGTGTCCCAGAAGAGAACGATGAAGAAGCAACATGGGTACTCACATCACTGGTGCCAACTCTCCCATTTTGTGATCAATCTGCCCCCCACTCTGGGACCCCAGATTTGGAATCTGTGCTCCAGCAATATGCATTTCTTCTGGGCCCTTCCGATTTGTCCTTTTGGTTTTTCACTTTGATTTTGTGCCTGGGCCCTGGACTTGGTTTAGATGTCTGGCATTGGTGACCCAGGTCCCTTCTATAACCTCAGACTCTCAGATTGTCACTCTGCTGCCCGAGTTCAAAGGTCATGTCAGACAGCTCCTCCTCTATGCTCCACCTTTTTGTTCCATCATTTAGCCTTCTGTTTTGTAACTATTTGTTTTCATGACTGGGCCCCTCCCAGGACTGTGAGCAATTTAAAGATAGAGAGTGGGTGTCAAACATATTTCATAAATGAATGCATAATAAATTATGATCTGTCTGATTGAGGCAGTATAATCCTTCTGATGCTGTTATGAGTGACAGGGAGAATTATTTTTGTCTTTCCTAACTTCCATGCCAAGAGGCAGGAACCAATGAGCATTTAAGATCTCCATTGATGTGTGTGTGTGTGTGTGTGTGTGTGTGTGTGTGTGTGTGTGTGTGTGTGTGTAATTTGATGTCAGGAGTCTTCTCCCTTATTTTTTTATTTTTAATTATTATAGGGGAGAATGTGAGCATAGTCCCTCGCTTCCACAAAATATGCAGTTGAGTTTCCTGTATTTGGAGAAATCATAGGAGTCAGAATGTCTCAAGTACAATGGATAAGCCTCACCCTGGGAAACCACCTTTGTGGTCATGATACCTTCCCTGCTAGGTAAGTATAAGTATACAAACTTGTTTTTTAGGAATCAGGCTCTCTCTCTCTCTCTCTCTCTCTCTCTCTCTCTCTCTCTCTCGCTCGCTCGCTCGCTCGCTGTCTCTCTCTCTCTCTTTCTCTCTCATGTTTATTTTTTCTATTTACATAACTTTTGTCTGCCTGTGTGTATGTGTACCATGTGTACCTGTAACTGGCAGAAGAGGACATCAGAGCCCCTGGAACTAGACTTGCAGATAGTTGTGAGGCAAACCTGGGCCCTCTGCAAAAGTGCTCTTAAATACCAGAGTCATTTCTCCAGTCCCTTGCAACAGTGTCTGATTGAACTGAGAGATCACTGGTTAGGGCAGGCTAGCTGACCAATGAGTTCCAGGATCCTCCTGTCTCTGTCATTCCAATGCTAGGGTTATAGATACATGCTGGCACACTCCGTTTTTTTGTTTGTTTGTTTGTTTTTTCTTAAAACAGAATCTCACTTTGTATCCCTTGAAGTTCTGAACTTGCTATGTACATGAGGCTGGCCTCAGACTCACAGAGATTCCCCTGCCTCAGCCTCCTGAATCCTGGGATTAAAGGCATATGCCTCCACATGTTCCCTACTTGGTTTTAACCTTTTTTTGGTGGCTGCTGTGTCACCATGCTTTTACAGCAGGCACCTCTGCAGCTGAGCCATCTCCCCAAGCCCCTGCACTGCCTTCTCTGCAGCTTGACCACATTAGCACAGCCTGGACCCAGATGAGTCTGTTTCTTGGTTATGCATTTCAGACTTCATTTTAAAGTGGTCATGGCCCCTCACTGCTGCATTATGTTTCCACCATTACATTTCTTCTTTTATTACTGCTGTAAGATGTGAGTTAGGACCATAAAGTAAAGAAGAAAAAAAGCACTTGCAGCCATTTGCAGCTCCGAGAAGCTGGAACGGGGCTTCCAGAAGCTGGCTGGGTGCCACAGGGAGGAGGAAATAGTCCTCCATGTTGCCAGTCTTATCAGGGCTCCACAGCTTCTTGCCAAAATTTTAGGAAAAGGATGTTCTACTCCCCGGGAGCTATGCTGTATGTGTCTATAGGTGGGAAGTCTTTCAACAAGTATTTTCACTATAAATACCTGGCGTGTGTTTTCACTGGATTAAGTCTGCAATTTGAGCTCCGTATTGTGAAATCCTGACATAGGGATATTAATCACTGTGTGTAGTTCAGGAGCCATTGTCAACATTAGCCAGTAAGTGAAGGTTTATAGCATAAAGAATCCCATTTGAGATGTGGAATTTGCTCCACAGGAACAATTGGCAGCTTTCTGATTGTGAAAGTTTTCCTTTTGGAGTAATAGTAAGTAGGGAAAATGGGAATGACTTTTGAAAAGCTAGTAAGACTGCATGGTGGTGAATACATTTAATCTCAGCATTAGGAAGACAGAGGCAGGGGGATCTCTGTGAATTTGAGGGTGGTGTGGTTTACATAATGAGTTCCAGGCCAGCCAGGGCTACATGGTGAGACCCTGCATTAAAGCACGTGGTGGTTTGAAAGAAAATGGTCCCTAAAAGGAATGGCACTATTAGGAGATGTGACCTTGTTGGAGTAGGTACAGTCTTGTTGGAGAAAGTGTGTCACTGTGGAGGTGGGCTTTGGGGTCTCCTATGCTCAAGCCATGTCCAGTGAAACAGACCACTTCCTATTGCCTGCAGAGCAAGATGTAGAATTCTTAGCTCCTTCTCCAGAACTATGTCTTCCTATATGCTGTTATCCCTCCTGCCATGATTATAATAGACTAAACCTCTGAAACTGTAAGCTACCCACAAATACTTTCTTTTTAAAGAATTCCCATGGTCATGGTATTTCTTAGCAGCAATAAAAACCTTAATTTAAGACAGAAGTTGGTACTGAGGACTGGGGTATTGCTGTGATAGGCCTGACCACATTTTTATTTGAAGGAATATGGACTTTGGGCTTGTGGATTAGAAAAAACAGTTGAATGTTTTAAGTGCTATTTAATGGGCCATACTAGTAGGAGCATGGAAGACATCGGTGCTAAGTGTGATCTGATTTAGTGGGTGCCTAAATCGAGAGGTTTCAGAGGAGAAGGACAGTAGTATGTAACCCAGAGACCAGTCCTGTGATATTTTGGTTAAGAATGCAGCTGATTTTTGCCCTTGTCTGAAGAGTCTACCTGAGGTTAAAGGGAAGAGATTTGGATTAATTCTGTTGACAGAGGAAATCTCAAAACAGCCTAGTATAGACTCTGCTGTGTGGTTATTAGTGTTAAACTCTAACGAAGATTTATAATGAAAAGGAGCAAGCTAAGCAGGATAAATGACAAAATGTAAAATTTGAGGAGAAAAGGAACACAATAAATTCGAATGGAGCTAAATCCTGTTGAAGGAGATAAACAGATTAAGAAATGGAATAAAAGGAGTGATGACCTCAGGGTAAGATCCCACCCAGCTAAGGTTCCAACTTGTGAAAAGCAATTAAAGAAAAGCTTAAAGCAGGGTGGTATATGCCTTTATCCTAGCACTCAGAAGGCAGAGGCTGGTGGATCTCTGAGTTTAAGGCCAGCCTGGTCTATAGCGTAAGTTCCAGAACAGCCAAGCATAGGCAGTGAAGGAAATCATGGAAAACAGAAAGATGAGGAAGATGTAATTGAACAAAGGGGGAGGGTCATCTTCTAGCCCCAGAAAGCAGCAGAACTTGGCAGCTCCAGCCATATGGTTCTGACTTTACAGATAGAATCTAAAGATAGAAGAAACAGGTTATGAAATTTGCCTCCATGACTAAGGAAAGCCACTGAGGCCTGGCATGTGTCAATGGTGTCCCAGAATGAAAGCCTGGAGAAGTCATTGTATGGCTCTGTGAAGGTGAAGCCTGGATTGCCTTGGAGACCCCAAGATATTAGAGATGCCAAAGCTGTGGGATACCTGCTGAGGAGAGCTAAAAGGGAGTTGAACCAGCCCAAGAGGAAGAACTGTGTTGCATTCAACAAAACTGAAAGGAGTTGGAGATCTGGAGAACATTTTGACAATAGACGTGGAGATGCAAAGTTTCAAGTTTGCCTAGCAGTTTTCAGTCTTGCTGGTCCAGTATTTCCTCACTATGCTCCTTCCTCTCTGTTTTGGAATGGTAATAGATATCCTGTGCCACTATATGTTGATGTGATCTGATTTTTAAATTTTGATTTTTATAGGGGATTATAGTTAAGAGATTGCATGAATCTAAGAAGAGACTTTGAACTTTGGGCTTTTAAACACTGTTGAGACTGTGATAGACTATGGGGACTCTTGAAGTTGAACTAAATGCATTTTTCATTATGATATGGTTACAAGCTTATGGGTCCAGAGAGTGGAATATGGTGGTTTGAAAGAAAGTGGCCCCCAAAAGGAAGGCTACTATTAGGAGATGTGACCTTGTTGGAGTAGGTATATTTCTTGTTGGAAGGAGTGTGTCACTACGGAAGTGAGCTTTGAGGTCTCATATATGCTGAAGTCATGTTCAGTGAGATAGCTCACTTCCTGTTGCCTACATATGATGTAAAACTCTCATCTCTTTCTCTAGCACCACGTTTGTCTGCATGCCTCCACGTCCCATCATGATGATTATAGACTGAACCTCTGAAACTGTAACACACCCCATTAAATGTTTGCCTTTATAAGAGTTACCATGCAGGTGGATCTCTGTGAGTTCAAGACCAGCCTGGTCTACAAGAGCTAGTTCCAGGACAGCCTCCAAAGCCACAGAGAAACCCTTTCTCAAAAAACCAAAACCAAAACCAAAAAACAAAAAAGAATTGCCATGGTCATAGTGTCTCTTCACAGCAATAGAAACCCTAACTTTAAAAAGGGTGTAGGGGGACAGGGCTGGGGAGATGGCTTACAGTTAAGAGCACTTGTTACTCTTACAAAAGACCTAGGTTCAATTCCCAGAACTCACATGGTGGTTCACAACAGTCCATAATTCCAGTTCCTCTTTCTTACCTCTGTGGGCATAAGACACACATGTTGTTCACATACATACATTTAGGCAAAACATTTAATGCACGTAGAATAAATAAATCTACCAAAGAATTATAAAGCTAATAAAGAATCTCAACTATTCTTTTAAACATTTATTATAGTGATGAGGCTGGGCTGGGTTGGAAGGGTATCTAGCACAAAGCTCTAGGTTCTGTTACCATCCCTACATAAACTGGGCAGGTTGGAGACATCTGTAACCTCAGCATTTGGGAGGTAGAAGAAGGAAGATCAGAAGATCAAGGACATTGTCAGCTGAGTAGTGAATATAAAGCCAGCCTCAGCTATATTGAGACTTTATCTCAAAAACAACAAAACAAAATAATACTAACGGTAAGAGAATTTTAGTTAAGCAAATGTTTAGATTCCTTTGAATCCACTACAATGATTTAATTCAGACAGTTGAATTTGTTTATAAGAATGTGTGGGAGTTTTTGTTTTGTTCTTCTCATTTGGCCAAGGAGTATGCCTATATGAAACAGACAAGTAAGACAAATTCTGAATTTGATTGTGCTGCCACTTAGCTAATCAACCGATCATCAAGGATCAGTGCCCACTGTGCACCCAGGCCCACGTCTGGAAGGGTAGAGAGCAGATTAATGTAGTATTTCTTTCTTCTATGAATCTAGAATCTACTCAGATGCCATCTAGTCAGAATTTACCAACAAATCTCAGATAGACCTGGGTTCAAATCTCAGTTCTGGAATTTGGCATCAACTGGAACTTTGGTAAATAAGCATCTCTGATCTATGTCCTCCTCTATCAAATGGAGGTGCTAACAACACCTATCTGTTGGGGTGACCATGGGAATGGAGCAGATAGTGGGCTTATTTTCCAGGCCACATGTACAAACACTTCCCACTTGTTAGTCTTTAGCCTAAGGAAGCCCTGTGGTACCCCACCCACATATGGGCATCGTATACACGCACACTTATAATAATTATTTTTAGAACTAATTATATATTTTCTCACACTTCCTGGTTGCTTGATTTTTACAGGTATGTGCAT